CTGATATTTCATGTGTCTTCCGACAAATTTTGACAAGCGTGTTGATTGGTTGTAAAATAGAAAAATTCTCGAGTCTCTAGAAATCCTCTATCTTGTAGATAATCAATACATTTAAAAAATTTGTTGCACGACAAATTAAATATTTATACCTTCGAGTGCCTTTAATTTGGATTAATTTTGTTTGAGAGCCGCTAGATACTAGACTCCCCTTATTCTATTAGAACCTTTCTCTGGATCGATCCTAAGGGCTCTCTCACACAAAATAGCATAGCTGCATATGCATAACATAAGACCGCCTGGACCAGTGAATCTCTAGCATTGGTCCAGTTCATAAATTTTCAATACTGTCAGCATATTTTGGAACGCACTCTAGATACAGAAAGGAATGTTGAAGTTGAGATAGAAAATAGAAGGAATTAATAAATAATGCTATGACATTTCATTCGTTATCTCTTTTTATCGTTTTCATTAATTCTCGTTAATATAAATAAATGAAAAGTTCTTCACGATACACGGCCGAGATATTTTTCAGATTAAATCAGAAAAGATGGCAAAGCAATTCGAATTAGGTATGCCAGTATTAGCGGGATTCTGTAACTTCTTACTTACGATATCGTTGCGCAGGTAAAAAAGCTGCATGCGCAACGATACCAAAGTTACAGAATCCCGCTTCAGGTTTTATAAAGAATAATAATGAAAAAGGAATGTACATGATAAATATACGTACAATTAATTGCATGCAATATACAAATATAATATATAAATTGTTTTCAGCTTTTTCTTTTTATACATCTTAGATACCGAATAAGATTTAGACTCATAAAGCTTATCTGTGATCCTCTAAAATTATTATGAAATCATTAATTGTTTTTTATTGTACCCGATTTGTATCTCTCCGTCAGTATCTTGTTTTCCACGTTATCTCCGCACTTATCTTCCATTTTACCGACATAATATTTTCGGTAAATTTGCGGAAATATTTTATGCTCCGATATTGACGATTCATGTGAATGAACGTAATTTGGCATTTTTTACAGCATAGAACTTTATAGTAATATTGCAGAAGTGTTTTGCAACATTGCTATGGGTTGTTCTCCTCGGTTTTTGTATATGATATTCACTTGTGCATAAATACTTTTTGTACATGCTTTGCATTCTATAATAATAACACTCTCGAAAATCTTCCACTGCTTTATTTGTATCTGCATAGATCCTACATATCTTGATACGCGTTATATGCAATATAATATTTATATATAGAAGTGTTGTTAACTTCTACTATCAAGAGCATCAATAACGGTTGAAATCGGCTCTAAGCGACACTATGTTAATTGACAATGAACGTTGTCGCATCTTGGTATGGAATTCTTAATAAAACGATGAGCTTGTTAGAACTACGACGAGTAACAACGTGTTTTAACACTCACATGTTCCCGCTTTAGATCGCTTTTCGTGATATTAATCTTACACGTCACATCTCCAAATTCTCGCGTTATCGATAACAATTGAGCGAATTAATCTTAAAATCGATTAATATCTTGTTCGCTAGCCGCCAACTATATTATAAAAGTTTCATTCATGACTTCTTCTCTCAGCATCTCCGACCCTAAATATTATTTTCAATATTCAATATTTCTAGTTTTCAGACCTTTTTTTAATCTATACGATCTTAATGTCTTCATAAATGCAGAAAAGAAATGAAAAGCATTTTGTAGATTTTTAAATCAATTTTTAAATCAAATGTATAAGGATGCATTTATTTCGCACTTGAAGTGTCTTTTGTGTATATTTTTTTTTATTTTTATAGATTTTCAACATAATTCTAAACAATTTATATTAATTAGAGTTATATTTGCTTCAAGATGATAGACTACGAACGCATTTATCTTCGCTCGCTTACACAGATTTTAATACAAAATTTGTTATGCGCTTATAAATTAATAAATACATATAGTGGATAAAAAAATATTTGCACACCTAGTTTTCTTACAATAATTTTATTTAACGGAATAATACATAAGTACAAATTGTGTCCATAAATAATTTATTAGATACATACAGTATATGTGATAAGTTAGAGCGGCATGATTTAATCTAATTTTACTTTGATCAAGCTTTATCATCGAAATTTTCACGTAAATGTATTATAAGATAAATGCAGGATATGTTCACACGTTCTTATCAAAATATCATCTATACGGCGTGATTTATTTATGACAATGAATATTTTTTTTTTTGATCAAGTACTTATTACGTAAATGATTTTAAGAGAAATGAAATATAACTTTTCGCGATAAGTAAAGATGCCATATGTAAAGTTGCTATTTCTCATTAATAATTTGCTAGTACTCGATAAATTCAGACAGTAGATTTTTAAGGACAATAGACAACTTATTGTGTGTGATATCGAGAGAAAAAGACATCGTCGAAAACGTTTTGTAGGCAAAGAGGAATTCAACACATGCGCAGGGATCAGGATGATCGATGTATGATCAGTGATAGTATCATTTTTCGAAGACAGGGATGACTGTTATCTAGTGATAACTAGTCAGAAATTGTGGGAGGAGAGCAGCTTATTATAGAAAATCGCGCCATTATTCCTTGTATATTCGTCCCATTTACCATTAGGAACACTTACCGAATAACAGAGTTTTTTCTGATGGGTTTTGATTTTAGATTACTATATCACAGGTATCGAAATGCTCCTCTAAACGTGTCTTCAACTCTTTATTTTTTTTTTTTTTTTTTTTTTTACACAGATATTTGCATATACATATACATTATACATATTATAAAATATATTCCATGAACCGGGCGAATGTATTTAAGGATGAGTGACAAGATTCGCGGTGGTCATGAGTAAAGTTGGGAGAAAGAAAATTTTTATTGATAATTTTTTGTTATACTTATTTCTTGAAACATATGTAATTTAATTTCTGGTGATAATACAATGCATCGCGTAATTCGCTGATAATGAGATTATTTCGTAGAAAATGATTCACGTATATGACGCATCTTTATATTTATACTTTGCTTTAAATTATCAAGAGAGACAGATTTTATATATACAGGATGTTCCAGGTCAATAAAACTTCAGGGAAATTCCCTGTATATAAAAAGAAAGAGATGAGAGGAAAGAGAGAGACCTCTTTTCATTTTTATGTCTTTTATTTGAATTGGAAGTAAGAAATTATGTATTCGTGTGTGTCGTATACGCTATCAGGAGATCGAAATAATAAAAGAATTTTAACACAATCTTAGATTATCAGATTTATTAAAATATCTTAACAAAATTCTCTACTCCTACAAATACAGCAGTATAGTTTTAGCAAATATGCAATTTGCTTCTCGTTACTCTCAACCTTTTCATGCTTCCTTTGAAATCGATGGTTATCTACATCCAGTTGTCCAGCTTTTTTCAAAATCGATAGTTACCTATACCCAGTCGTCCCAATTATTTTTACAGTTTACCTTTGACGCGACATCGCATTTCAGATTAGCAATGTTGAAGTAGTTGCCCCAACTGCAGTCATATAATTTCTTCTTTCCGCTTTCGCACTGGTAATATAATCTACAGTCGCACTCGTGAGCCCATTTTGAGGGACTAGAACTTGGGCAATCGCCAGGTTTAGGTTTCACGTTTTTGTCGCAGCCCGCATCTAATGGATTCATGCATATTTTTTTAGTCTCGCTAAAATGTAGACCCTCTGCGCAATGCTCGAGGAGCCAATCATCATTATTGCATTTATAATACTTATCGCAGCCACATTCGTGTTTCTTTGCATCGCCGTTCACGCACCTTGGTTTAGGATTGTTGCAGTTCCCCGGAATGCATCGCCGCGTTGAATTGTCGAAGTGCCATCCCTGGTCGCATTCACGCAGAGCCTTCCGACCGTTCTTGCACTGGTAGTATTTATTGCATTGGCACTCATGAGGTAGAAATTCGCCTTCCTGGCACACGGGTGGCGGAGGTGGCGGAGTTGTATTGCAGTCTCCCACTTCGCAAGTCTTCGTTGAAGGATTGAAACGCTGACCGACCGGACAGTCACGCACAGCTTTGCGACCATATTTGCATTCGTAGAATTTAGTACATACACATTCGTGCGGCAGTAGATCGCCATGTCTGCATTCGCCAACCGGTGGTGGGGTCGGACGGGTTGGCGGCGGGGTCGGGGGGGTCGGTGGCGGGGTCGGGGGGG